GACAGAGATCTGTGAGCCATTCTTCAGTGTCACAGTGAGCGACGCCTGGCACATCCTTATACCTGAAGTTGATCAATGCAGATATGTCCAGGGGGAAATTGAAATCCATAGGAAATTAGGCGACGCAAGTGATTTATTGGAACAGTAAATCATGGTGCGTGTGATGTGTGGAGAGTCTGTGTTCCAGCTCTGTGCGCCATACTGTACCTTTCCTCTTAGTGACATGGCGATATCAGCAGCTCGCACCTTCTTCTCCCTCTCCATTTGGTAGATCCACTGCAGCAGGTCCATAGGAGGGGACTGGTCCCTCTGGAACAACCACCCATGAGGGATAGGGTGATTCAACCCCATGGACACAATGCTCTGCAGGGGTCCCTCTGAAGTTAAAAATAGAAGCACAATTAGATTGCTGTATGCCTCACTACCTATGTTTCTATCTACAGTACATGCCAAAAATATGTTTCTGTTGCATTTTTAAAATAAGGCAGGAACGGTTCTGTGGTCTGTAAATACATAAAGTGTGCTGGAGTGGCTCTAGCTCAGGTAGTAGAGCGGGTCACCTACTAAGTGCTCCAGTCTGCATGCCAAATATCTTGCCCAAGGATGCATTCATCGGAGTGTGAATGTGTATGAATGCTAGTTAGGTAGCACTGAAAACCTAGAAAATTGTGATTGGGTGAATGAAAAAGTTGTATAAAGCGCTTTGAGTGCTCAGATAGAGTAGAAAAGCGCTATATAAGAACCAGTCCATTTACCATTTGCTGAGGTTAGTAGCAGAAAAATGTTATTCAGGCAGTTTTGCTAAAATAAATGATATTGGGTGATATTTGCCTTGCAATTTCATTTTGCACATACATCAGAAGATTTTATCGAGTCAATCCTGTTTTGTTACAGTTTACAAACTGTTATTTTCAGCCATTGTTGTGCAATATTTTTATATGCAAGGGTTTTACTTGCAGGAGGAGTTCTTGTTCTTCCAAAGAGCCCTTATTTAGATTGATATTAAAATCAGCAGCAGCTGATTTAAAACCAGATTTTTGAATTTATACTTCTGTTACTCAACAAGAAAATTTACAGTACTTTTTTGTTTTCGGTGAGATACTGCAACACAGACTCATTGCCTTCACCTTCACCCCACCAAGGGTCCACTGTGAGCCAAGAGAGTCATGCATGAGTTTTCATTGTTAGCGGCAGACTCTGCCATTTCAGTGTCAGACTCAAACTGTCTACCCTTCAAAAGGGATTCCCTGCATGAAGATGCAATCCAGCCTTTCCATTTATCTCACTGACATTATCCTCTTTAGTTAGAATAAGTAAGTGCAGTGACACAACATATCTATCTGTTCGTTGCATTAATAATACCAAAGAATGTGTAAGAATCATTTTGCAGAATTAAAAAGAAAGAAAGAAAAGAAGCAGGAAGCATCTATTCTATCGTATTACAGAGTATAATATTGTAGTAATAGAGGTACACACACATAAAAAGCACTAGTCTGTCCTCAACTTAGAGGATGCTTCTCAGCTTTCTGTGTATTAAAAAAACAGAAGATCCCTGTAAGGATGAAACTGCAGGACAGAGTCACTTACAGCACAAACAGCAAAATGAAAAATATATATCTGACACAGAGTATTTGTAGTTGAGGGGACTGAGTTCATGTACAAATGTTCAAATAAATCCACAAGCTTTCCTTGAGAATAAAACAGAGATAGTGTGTAGTGTGAATCCCGACTGAAGAATCAGCCCCCCCACCTCTCAAACACTCCCAACTCCCCCTGCCTTTGCTGTTTTTTTTTCTCTTCCAGGTACATCACTTGTGTTCTTCTAGCTTGTTTTTGTCCTGCTTTAATTGCTTTTTCTCTTTTTTTTTCCTTTTGCAGCGAAGGAAGAAAAGACAACAACAAGGCGGTGAGGGCTGCAGCTAATGGAGAGGCTGTAATTGTGAATGGAGGCATTCATCTGGAGACATCGTCCGTGAATTGCGCTGCACAATACCCAGCGCCGGGCTGCTCAGATCACCAAGCAGTCACCAAGCACGCGTGCACACACGCGCACACATATAAACACGCTGAACCCTCAGATCACTGGTGCTCAGAGGAGCAACGTAATCACACTTCCGCAGAGAGAAAGACATCGAAAAGGGGAGGAGAGAAAGAGAGGCTGAAGAGGGGGGAGGAAGGGAAGAAGAGAGGAGAAATTATACAAGGAGATAGGAGGAGAGGAAGGGGGAGGAGGAAAACGGAATGGTGAAATTGATGTTTCCTACCATTTGATTTGGGCCACAGAGCCCAGGAGGCAGATCAGATAGAGCTACATGCACACACAGAATCAGCACATGCAAAGAAACAAGGATGCATGCACACCATCCCTCCTCCATAGAGCCCATACATGAAAGAAGACACGCATGCACAGACTCATATAGAGAGGCATACATTTAAAGCCATAAATCTGTACAAATATTATGTAAATAACCTGTAGAAGCTCACAGAACCATCTCACAAATCCCATGATTTCTTCTACCTGCTTGAACATTTAAACACAAACACACAAATGCACACACACACATATTTTTTAAAGAAGACACAACAAAGCCTATAGTATGGAAGGGGAAAAAAAGCCCTCATCCCGGCGAGGCGAGACGAGACGAGGCACCTGTCAGCTCGGTGGTTCCTGCTACTACAGAGAAACATCAAGAAACAACAACTCAATTAAGCACACCATCCCTGTTCAATTACTGCCACATAATCACAGCAATTTACCTTCACTTGCTGCACAGCCACCAAACAAACACACACAGAGGTGCAGGCGCACGTACAGAGGCGGTTTCCCCTCACAAACGCCAGCAGAGACACAGCCGCATCACAAAGACCGACCAGACTGGCTTCATTCTACACATCATTAATGTGAAGCTCATCTGGAGGCATCCGCAGGCTAACCAGCTTCAAACAGACACGGAGGACGACGGCAGAGAACAATTTAAGTGAAATGCTTATTCACTAAATATGTGATGAACAGCAACAGCACTTCCCAACATGTCCATTACAGTATTTCCATCACTATAAATAGCACAGCTTCTGTCTAGCAAATGTAGCTCGGTATATTTAAGGGTACGAGCTGTAAGTAACAGAAATCATTTGTGACCCAAATCTGTTCATCTTAATCACTTCTTGCACATTCTTTATGACACCAGGGATCTCAAAATCATCAGTAAGTTGCTATAATTATCATCATCATTAACTAAGAGTGAAATAACCTTTCCACAATGGTCCTGTTTGCTATTGTGCCTTGCTTCTGATATTCTTTTTCTGTGAGTGGCATAAAGATTTGTTATTTTATCTTTCCAAGAAATCAGACAAATTTTGTGTCTTCAGACGGTGTCCGTTGAGTTGCCTTTATATAAATATATAAGTTCTGCTAAAACTGTAACACACAGGTTTAATGCTAAAAATGGCAGCAGTTCCTCATGGGACCTCAAATAAACAAAAAAACAAAAACACGAATATAACCCCACACACTTGAATAACATTGTCCCTTTCCTGCTTAAACACGACACTTTCATTGTGCACAGTGTAGTGCATTGAGATGGCTTTCCCCAGTTTGGCCAGCACAAAGCTCAAACTCCATCCATACATGTTCAGGATGAGTGAGAATGCCAAATGTGAGCCATGGTTTCACCCATCATCAGCATGCAATCTAAATAATTCGTCTGTGGCAGAACAAGAGTATATCCCTCCCTGTAAAAAGTAACAAGCCTAGGGAGTAGTGACGCTGACTTAAAGGCATTCAAAATCTGCAGAAGTCTGTTATACACAAACATAGCAGCTAAAGACCACATGACCCAGGGTGATGCTGATGCCATCTGCCAAAGATTAATTTTTAAAAGGTAACAAAAAGCAGAGATCAACAGGCTTATAGGATCACGCAGAGGAGAGACATTTTTGGGACAAATCTACAGTTGAAGTGCTGTTTCAATGATAATTTTCTTGTGCAGCTAGTTTTCATCAACTTTGCAGTCAGTATTGTGATGATGTGATAGTGTAACATATCACTTTCTACAGGGAACTCATTAATTACTTTACACATATTAAGTACAATCAAGTCTGAAACGTACAAATTCATATCTTACTAAGTTTAAGTTTACTGTTTCTATGACAAGCAGATTTGGAAAGCTATTTCTAAAAAATATGAAAAAGCACTCTAATCTATTCTGCACACAGCGTAATACAAGCTAGTCTGGAAATTAGAATCATCCAAAGTCATGACCGAGGGTGATGCTCAGGGCACAGTGTGGCTAACTGGCCCACTACAGAATGATGTCACTGGGGATACGACTGAGGAATAGCAACACTGTAAGAACCTGTGAATGAAGTGAGTGTGTGTGTGGACAGCAGATTGACTAACAGCTTGAACTTGGGTTAGATCCAGGAGCATGGGGAGGGATACATGGATGGATGAAGAGAGAGGGAGGAGGGAAGAGGGGGGGAGCCATTGATTTCTCAACAGAGAGATCAGCATCTTGACAGAAAGAGACGAGTGAGCAACGGAGCAAGACGCACACACACAGAAAAAGAGAGGAGATACCCACTGCGGCCCTCGGGTGAAATTCCATGACTTTTCCATAACTGAGCTCGAGTACTTTTATGCCCTAAAAACACACCTCCTTCCTAATTTGGGCTGAAACAGGGATGTAATGCGAGGGAAAAAAGAAATCTAAAATAAATCTAAACTTTGACAGCACTTTGGTTAAGGTTCCTGACTTTGCCTGACTATCAGTAAAAAGTGATATTCCAGGACCTCCATGACCAGTGTGAACCCCTGTTGACAGAGATCAACAAGAAAGTCTGGGTACGTATCTCTCTCCCAGCATGCCTCGGTGAGTCTAACAAACCTGAAACCCCCGACAGGGACACAGAGGAAGGCGCTGTGGCTTTATGCTGTGTGTGGCTAACAAGGTGTGTGTGTGTGTGTGTACGTTGTGTGCAACAGGGAAGCTGACACACACTGTGGAGGAACGGGTGGGATTGAGAAGGGGCAGCCAGGGGTCACGCTGTAATTACACATCATAGTCCCTGTGGTCAGTCCACTGACTTCCTCTGACTGCGGTGCCTCAGCCACACGAGCAGAGATGGCAGGTGGTGGTGGGAGTGGAGGGTTGTAGGAAACTTGGAATAATAAGGATAGCACATGTTATATTTATTTTCAGATTTCTATTGTTTAATTAGCTCGTGTATTATTTTTTCCTCGTCCTGTTTTTTATATTAACTCCGTGCATCGTTTGCAGTACGTCCAGCACACATGTCACACCTCTACAGTAACTCAGCCTCCGTGCCCACCTCAGAATGTACCGGCTTTCACATACCGTGCGTGGTCCTGTGTGGGTGGTAGGTGCCATAGAGGATGAGTGTAACGCTGCGTAGAGCTCCGGCTGCCTCCTCTTCACTTGGCCTCGCGCAGCTCGTCACTGTGCCCTTGTGGTCAGTCACCTGGAAACAATCAACATGACAAAGACACCATTTCACCAAAAAATCGATCAATCGATCAACAAGTCAATCAATATTTTATGTGAAAATGTCCTAACACAGCAATACTAAAAACAAAGGCAAAGAATGAGAAGATCTGGCAGTATGTGAATAAAGGATATAATCGTTAAACTGAGAATTTATTTTACAGTAAACTATTGGATGAACCTTTTCATGATGGAAAAAGTTTTTTAGGAAAGCGCCAGACTTCTCTTATAAAAAGGTGATGAAGTAATGGTATACATAAACATGAAATGGATTTTGATCTGTAAATTATCATGCAGGAATTTAGTGGTATACACCGATCCATTCGGGCATAATTTAAATATCTAACTTTAGTTCATATCAGCTGAATTAATCCCAGATGCTTACATCTGATTTTGCACATGCGTCCCAACAGAAGCTCTGGTCTCAAGAGGTTAAGAAAGAGAATAAACATAGTAGCAGACTTCCCAGCATGCATTGTTACAGAGATAAAACTCCCCACAGTCTCTGTCCGTTACTTTTACATTTATTAAAGCATAAAAACTGTGAACTAACGCTTCTTACTTTGTTTAATCAACCCACATTTTTAAGGCAGGAGGAGCTTATGTGTTAAAACCAAAGTGTAGATTACAAAATCATAAAGTCTTCATACAACAATACAAAAATAAACTCGATGGAAACCTTGAGTGTATAATGTGGATGGATATTCAGTAATATATTTTTTTATAATGAAGATATCTTCTGGAAAGAAGGAATAAGGAATACTGTTACTGTAAGCATCAGTCTCAGCCCAGAATTTCACATCCACAGTTTTTAGTTTATTTATTTATTATTTTTTAATTGAGTTAAAGAGTTTAAGTGAAGGACAGAAGTTATTCATTTACTCTAAACAACCACAAAGAGCATCGACATGCCAACTGTTCAGCTGTTTTGGGGGATGTTTTTGGCTAGAGGTGGGTGGGGGTGAGATCATGTGACAGCTCAATCTGATGACTTAGTACTTAAAACTTGTACACAACAACACAAAAGACTTGTGACCTTTAATTTACAACGAAAAGCCTTTGACTGTCACAGCGGCCAATGCAGCGTGTTGCAGCAAAAGTGCAAGCTGAGGTCTGTAATCTCCAAAGGTACAAGATGAATCATTCTGTAGCTGCATTTTAATGTCATTGTCAAGGCAAAAATTAACTTCATCCCTACAAGAGCTGGTCAAGAGCATTCAACAGTGATCTTAGAGAAGCAACTGTTGCTGCCTGTCAATATGACAAGTGGTATAAGAACATTTCTTTTAACAATCTGAAGTCACCATTCCAAAAACAGAAACAGTATTCATTCTAGACAGCTGTCAGTGAAATTCACCTCAGCATCAGTCCGTGCAATGCGCAGAGAAAGTCCAAAAAGATCCAAAAGCTACATCTCATATTCTACAGATCTCACTTAGCATGTTAAATGCTAATCATGACTTGCAATTAGAAAAAGGCTGAACAAATATGGCCTGTTTGAAAGGATTGCCAGGAGAGAGCTTCTTCTTTCTATTAAAAAGTAAAACAAAACATGGCAGCGCATCTTAAGTTTTCAAAATTGAATCTAAACAAACCACAAGACTTTTGGAACTATGTCCTTTGGACAGACGAGACCTAAATGGAGATGTTTGATGTGATGTTTTGTCCAGCTGTCAAGCACGGTGGTGGAGGTGTGATGATTGGGTCTCGTTTTCAGTCACAGGACCTGGATACCTTGTAGTCATTTGGTCAACCAACTGTCGACTACTGCCAACTACTTAGGCATACAGACCTAGATCTAGATTTAATCATGAGGCCATCTGTCTGACAGCTAAAGCTTGTCCCATATGTGGTCAAGTAACCGGACAAGGATCACAAGTGCATCGGCAAATCTACAACAGCAACAGAGTTGCAATGGCGCAGTCAAAGTCCAGCCTCAACCCGACTAAAATGCCTGGCAGGACCTTAACAGATCTGTGCATAAACGAATGCCTGCAAAATTCAATAAACTGAAGCAATGCTGCAAAGAAGAGTGGGCTAAAAGTCTTCAACAACAATGTGAGAGACTGATAAAGTCATACGGAAAACCATGACTTCAAGTTATGGCTGCAAAGGGTGGTGAAAACTATCTTTTTCACTCTGTCATGTCAGTTCTCTGACTTCCACTTTCATTTACATCAAGTCAGTATTTTATTCATAAATCAGGACAGTATTTGAATAAAAAATGGAAAAATGAAATCTCTTCTGTAGCTCAGCCCACAGATAATTAAAAGTAACATATCAATCTAAATTACCTGACTATTATGAAAACCCACAAAATCCCCTTTTAGTCAAGCATTGTTCAAAGATGGCTTTATACCATTAATCTGCTACATCAACTGTCCAGTCTGCCTCTCTGCCTGTGTGTGTGTGCATATGTGTGTGTGTATATTCTATGCAGTGTTTGTGTGCGTGTGTGTGTGAGAGTGCTCAGAGCAGATCGGAGGCCAGGCATGGCAGCCCCCAGCTGAGTGCTGCATTGATTTGTTGTTGGTAAACAAACAGCTGGATGCTACAGGTGGATCGATATGCCTTGCACGCCTCCTCGCCTCCCAGCAGGACTTTCTACTAGGTTGACATGGCTCTCTGAAGAGCTGCAACCCTGCTGTCACCGGGAAACCTCACGAGTCAAATATTTCAAATTCCAGATTGTTTCTAATTGAGCTGAAGTTCATTTTACACATAAAGTTATGTTCCTGAATCTATAAAATATGCTTGTGAGTTCCATAACTTTGTAATCATTTTGCATACCAAACAACATGTTGTATTATTTGATGGTGATATTTGGTGTCAACTATAAGTGCACCATATCTTCATTACAAATGAAGATAAGGCAAAAATTAAGAAGCAGTCATCCAGCTATTACACTGAAGGTGTGATGAAAATAATATTTAACTACAATGTTATAAAAAATGTGAGAACTACAAGTGGAGACAAAATCGGGGCATAGAGGATAGAAAGATATTAAACTGACTTTTAGACAAAAGGGAGACAAAGAACATGAAAGGATTAGCAGAAGTAGAGGAACAGAGGGGAAAGTGGAAGGATTTCAAAAGCCAGAGAGAGAGAGAGAGAGTGAAACTACAGAGACAAAAAGAGGTTGGAGAGGGGGATTAGTGATGGGCGAGAGATGGCAGGATATCGAAACGGGTGAGTGTCAGGGTGATGGGAGCGAGACCCGGTGATTGGGAGTGATGAGGAAGGAGTTCAGAAAGAGATGCTGATACACAGGTAGTGGAATTGTGAAAAAACAACAACGTAGGAACAGTGAGAGATGGTGAGAGTGGGAGGATGATAGACAAAATGAGATGAAAAGAACAAAAACAGAGCACAAATTATGCATTTAGCAGAGAGCATCACTGAGAAAGACAATTAAATGGAGACATGCAAAGAAAAGACAAGAAAACTGTACTTTATGATGTTTTTAATGCTTCTTCCCAGAGGAAGTATCAACTCCTTTCCAGGACACCCTGCTCCACATTTATACAATCATACACCTGGAAGATACTTTCACCACAAGTCCATAATTCTTAAAAGTACAGCTCCTCTGAGAAAGGACGTGACTTTGCACCGTGTTAAATTTCTGAATCAAAGCAAAGCTCGCTTGCAGCTACATTAGGCATCACTGCTGTGTCATTTCTCCAACCATTTCTACACCATCCTCTCCTTCTTAAAAGTTGACACCTTTTTACAAATACGTACTGATTGTTTTGCAGGTGGCAGATGTTTGTTTAGTCACTGTTACTATGGGTGTTAATTCTAAATAAATGGCTTTGTTAATTCTGCCAAGAAATGGTCAGTTTGTGATGATATAAAATACTTTCCTGAGATATGCTTCCACATTTTTTAAATATAGATTCACTTTAATCTGAACCAATTATGCCTTCACTCTTTTTTCTCTCATGCAGTGGGGGAAATACTTGTAATAACGATTTGATCGCCTGCTAATTTTGCAAGTTTGCTCACTACCAAAGAAATCAACAGTCTGTAATTTGTGCTAGTTTTATTTTAGTGGAGAGAGAGACAGGATATCAACCAAAAATCTGAAGTTATAAATTGATTTGCATGTCACTGAGTGAAAAAAGTATTTGATCCCCCACAAAAAACTTGACTTGGTATTTGGTGGAGAAACCCTTGTTGGCAAGCACACTAGTAACACGTTTCTTATAGTTAGTCACCAGGTTTGCACATCTCAGGAGGGATTTTTTCACTCCTCTTTACAGAAACTCTCTAAATATTTGAGGTTTCTTGGCTGCTGCTTCACAAGCTTCAGCTCCCTCGACAGATTTCTATAGGATTGAGATCTGGAGACTGGCTAGACCACTCCATGACCTTAATGTGGTTCTTCTTTAGCGGAAGGTGGCAACTAAAACAGTTGCTACCTTCTCACCAAACTTCTTGCTGATGGACTTCCCATTCCAGCCTTCTGCAGGTATACAATCTTGTCTTGACCAGGTCTTGACCATGGTGGTGGAAGAAGCTGATTCTGTGGGCAGGCTAGCATTTTATTCACGTAATGAGTTGAGATCAGGCATATCTGAAATTAAGCAACTGATTGATGTAATCTGTGTATCACATGGGCACACAGTCAATCTGTGGAAATCAGAATTGGAGATGGGTTGTAGGAGATCAAATACTTATTGCACTCAATGTAATGCAAATCACTTTATGACTATTATGTAATGTGTTTTTTTCTGGATTTCTGGTTGATATTCTGTCTCTCACAATTAAAATGATACTAGCATAAAAACGAGAAATGGTGTATTTCCACCACTGTATATTTACTGTTAAAATAGTATGTGATCATAATAAGTACATTAACATATTAACTCACTGACAAGCTAAATTGACAGACGTATAAACTGAGGGGCCAGTGCCCAGTACAAGAAAAATGAAGATTATTCTAAGCTTTGACTTATGCAAAGCTACCGTAGTAGA